ATAGCTTTTTTATGTTATGTTGTGGCTGTAAAAGAGTCTGTGATGTGAGCTGGTATTGGCATGTATTGGATGATGGTCACAATGGACTCGAGAGATTCTCTCCAGCTTTGGAGCATTATCTTTGTAAGTGTTGTTTAAACATACAATCAAATGAATAGACATGGACATGGTATAATACTTCTCTACACTAACTAGTAGTGGGTATGGATATGGTGGAGGGGTGGTTGCCGCTTAAGGGCATCATGAATCAAATGATCAATACGTTCTGGTACAGGGGCCAACCACAGTACTTATCAGTCTCAGTGGTGTCCCGTCCAGACCCAGAAAGCTCACAATGAGTCAAATGACCGTAGGACCATCACTCTCATTCCTCATCCTATATCTCATCATGAGTTCATGACCATGCCTCCCTGTTTTGCACTTTATTTATACGAGCAAAAGACAATAATAAGAGAATAGGCGTCGCCCAATTGGGTAGAAGGTCAGAAAATGATTTAAAAAGAAGTGTAATTTCAGTTTTTACTTTCCCTCATCTTATAAATTTTTATTTGGGCTCAGTTTGGAAGGAGTACAAATGCAAATATGTAGAGTGCAAAATTATGTATTTTGTATATATTTGTATTTATACTCCTTCCAAACTGAGCCTTGATTTCATTTTCCAGAATCCTCACTTATGATAGTATCCCCTTGGAATGGATTTTCCACCTGTTACTCAACTGTATAAATCAAGGTCATTAAAACTGAACCGATCAGGGGTTCGGTTCTCGGGTTGAACAGTCTGACCATTCAAACCGAATGGACAGCCTGTTCTAACAAAAAAATTAAAAAAATTTTAAAAAATAAAAACTGGCCAAACTGTTGAATGGTTCGACCGTCCAGATTAGTGGTTTGCTGATCAAATCAACGGTTTTGGGGGAAATAATGATTCTGGGGTAAAACGGAACAGGTCACCTGACAGGTTCCTGGTTTTTCAGTCCGGTTTTGAAAATCATGGTATAAACCAGTGTTTAAAAAAATGACTTGGAACCACCTGGTCTAGTCACTGATTTTCAGGTTGACGGTTCGACCATCCGGTTTGAATGGATGACCCATTTTGGCAAAAAAATTAAAATAAAAAATGGCCAAAACTATTGAACAGGTTGAACAGGTCAATGGTCGACCGTCCGGCTCAATGGATTGTTGATCGATTCAACGGTTTTTGATCAGGGGCCAGATTTGGTGTAAAATGGAACCGGTTGTCTGGATGGTCTCGGGGCCGAACAGTCTAACTGTCCGGGTCAATGGCGATTCAAAAACCATGGTATATATAGATAAAAATTGATGAAATGGAGAATCTGAAAATTCGTCAAAAAAAGTATACCTTCAAGTTTTTTCTAGTGGTTATTACTGTAATGGTTTTTTAAAACAGTAGTGTTATTAATCAATTTATGACCCAAAAGTTAAAAAAAAAGGGTCTAAGAATAATACATGTACATTTTATATCATTGTCAATACACTATGCTACCAACCACCCCAAAAATAAATAAAAATGGACTTAAACTGTTCAAAAAGTGATTATTAGATTGAAATCTATAAAAATCCATTGAAGTAAGGATCTCATCTAAGATGGTAGTGGATCCTATCATCCTATGCCTATGGGATTTCCATTCAATAGTCCTTTTGGGCATGGGTCTCCTGCAATCCTTTTGTCCCCGATAGAATGACTCCTGTTCAATGCTCAATCTGAGATCTATTCCTCCCTACCATGTCTTTTTGTCGGTTTTGCCCTTGACCCTTTATCTTCATCCTGATAACAGAAACAACCTAATCATGAAGAACATAAGGGGCCGTTTGATAACAGCTGAAGTGGATGAACCTGTTGCTTTTGTCTTTTAGTGAATAATTTTTTGTGCTCTTTAAAATGTCTGAAGTTGAAGTGGAATAGGATATTATATTATACCCTTAAATATTTTTATCATTTTATTTTATCTACTATAGACAAAGCAATATATTGTTCGGTTCAACAAACATACAGTCGTTTAATCCGGTGCCAGCCCATATATCTTGTGCAAGGTTCTACATAGAGTGTATCGGGTGGTATCGTCCCTTTTTTTACTTTTTTTTTAATTTTTTTAGAATCGGTTTAGGGGGCCGGTTTAAGGTTCCTCCACCCCTGAACCGGTCAGAACCTCGATACACTCTTTGTAGGAGCGTATCGGGGTGCTCCTGATACGATACATATTGATTGATACAGGCCGATACTTTAAACCTTGATCTTGTAGAATTTGATTTTGGTCCTCATTTGAACCAAATAGGTGGGAAATGGGTGATTCCAATTCCGATCATAAACTAAATAGAACCTTAATGTCTTAAATAAAAAAGTACTAAGACAAAATGGTCGTTGAAAATTACATGAGGGCATTTTGGAAATGGGATATGCTCCTCGCAAAACACACCTCACACTGACCTCACAGGCACATCTTACCATATATTGGGAACATCTCCCATGAATAATAACACATAAGTATGAAAGATGTTCCGATTCATGGTGAGATGTGCCTGTAAGCCTGTGAGATGCGCTGTGTGAGGAGCAGATCTGGACTTGGTAGTTTAAAAATGTATGAATTTGCATATGTATGATAATCACATTGGAATATTCCATATGGTTACCTAATTCCAAGATGTGAAGGCACCCTTTAAGATTAAGTGAGATGGGGTTTGCTGACAGCAAAAAGCGGATGAACACACTAAGAATATGACATCCAGCCACATATCAGAAACAATATTAAAGTATGAGAGGTTTGAAAATTTTTTTGACACCTGTCCATTAAAATATCCTCACCCGATTAAAACCCAATTTTAACACTTGTCAAAATACTTATCAAATGCTCATTTAACGTGCTTACTTATGTTATGCCTACTAGATTCGGTCCCTAAACAAGCCCGAATGTCCTGCAAACAAAAAGTTTGTACACATACGTGCATTGAGAATTTCCTCATTAACAGGAAATGAGGAAAGATTACAAAATGGGGATCTGTCAGCCCATTAAGCCAACCACAGAGGCATGGCTTCTATGAATAAACCAGAGTCTTTCTGGCCTTTTCGGGCTAAGTTATGAGTTATCCCATTTGTTTCTCTCTTTACACTGGAGAAAGAAAAGTTTACCCCCTCACAAAGAGCCAGAATATTATTACAAACAAAATAAGTATCCTTAACCAAGCTTGGGTTTTTTGACTTAAAGCCTGAATTAAAACCAAGTTGTCACATTCCAAAATGAAGTCACCAGAGAATAGATGCTGAGAAAGTTGAGCTCCTTTTAAATAGGCTATTGCTTCTGAATAGATAGCAGAAGAACTCGAGCAGGGACCATAGGAAACAACCAAAATCCCCCCAGAATCATTCCTTAAGACTACTCCAAACACTGCTGATCCTGAATTTCCATAGTTGCCATCAATATTAATTTTCAAAAAGTTGATTGGAGGGGGTTGCCAAAAAAAGTTTTGAACTGCCTTACTGCCCTTTTCACGAGGTGGCAAAGAACCTGTCCATCCAAGACACAGAGTTGTATTAAGATCTGGATCTGCCCTGTTCCTACTCTTCCATAAATTCCAGATTAATAAAGCAGATAAGTTGAACAGATATTCCTTCCTTGAGAACATCTTACTATCCACTGGACTAATCGATCTGCAAAGCTTCATCGGCATCATAGCTAAAGATAGACCCAAAATGGTTATAGAAAAATAAAGCATGCATTACAATTTTAGAATCTTTCCCACATATAAGGCAGGTTGGAGCATCAAAAATACCTCTCTTAAACAGGTTCTCCTTAACCGCTATTGCATTCCAATAACACTTCCACAGCAAGTGTGAAATTTTTGTGTCTAACTTTAGTTTCCATAAAGCTTTCCAAACCCTGTGAATCTGGGAGTTTTGATTTTTGTGGGAGGTGAACTACCTGCAGATTCTTGATTCCCTTTCCAAACTAGTCTATCTTCCCAAGGTCCCAAAGGTAGATTAATCTTTACCATTTGATTTGCCATCACCTCAATGAAATTATTTCCTGGTTCCAGCTCAATCAGATAAAATAGGACTCGAAACCTTGGGTTCAGGGCCTAATGCTTCAAGTTCTAACTAGGGATCTTTCCAAATTCTGACTTTTCTACCTGAATTTATTTCGCAGAAAGTATTATTCCTGAGAACTTCTCGTCCAGCTAACAAGCTCTGCCAGCCCCAATAGCCCTTCATTCTTAAATTATCATTTAGCCCTGATTAGCCTTGCCCATACATTTAGGCTATATTTGGTTTGAAGGGAAAAGTAGGGAAAGGTAAAGGTTTCCTTACATTTCCCTTCCTTTCCCTACTTTTTCCAGCCTTGTGTTAAAACTTAAAATTATGGAAAGATGGTTGCCAACGGTTCCACGATTTCTGATTCTGCGTGTGTAAAGAGTTGTGATTGTGAATCCCGTCGCAACCCCAATCACTCCCCCACATTTGTCCTTTTATAACCTTTTCACCGTCCAATGACGAAACGAAACGAAGACTGCCTTTTTCTTTCCTTTTTTTTTCATAGTTTTGGTGGTGAATGGTGAATTGGTGATGCAGTGATCCTTTCCTTTCCTGGCAGCAGGAATAACGTGTACACAGGCCGTTTGTTTGTTAACGAGATTAGAGTCAAGAGGAGTGGAGGAGGATTGATTCTTCTCCCCGTCTAACAGCTCATCAAAACCGCGTCATCTGATTGAGACGCGTCAACCCTCTTTCATATCAAACCGTGGTGGACGGCGGTAATGCTTTGGGATTGGGCCCAGCACTCGATACTCCTCGGTGGATCCACCTCCACCACCCCGATTTATTCAGATTGGAACATCAATACCCATCACCCTTCGAGAAGGAATCCCCACCGTCCAATTCATCAACCATTTTCACGTGGCAACTGGCAGCAGTAGGGCGGCTTCTCCTGACGGCTGAACAAACTCACATAGATCACATATATAGAGAGAGAGAGAGAGAGAGAAGAGATAAATATGAAGTATCAAAGAGAGAATTAATTGCAAATATTTATTGAGAGAGAAATATGAGAGAACGACGTCTGATTAGAGTTTAGGAGTAGATAGCCGTCGTCAATTACCTTCCCCTAAATCTTTGCCTTGCTTTCTTCTTGTTCTGCGTGCTCGCTGGTCAGTCACTACTGGTGTGGTACTGCTGGCATTTCTTCTCTTTTGTTGTTATTTCATCAAGTCCTGAAAAATTCAACTCTCCCGCAAGCAGTGAGTCTAATTGGGTTTATCTGCTTTACTCTTCACAATTGCACACTAGGCCGAAGAGACGGCTTAGAAAATCTGACTTGTCTTTTGAACCAAGTCACCATCCTAAATCAGAAAATCACTTCACTTTTCTTTTCCGGGTACTCAACATCATTTTTTTTTCGGTTCTGTATTCTCACCTGGATAATGCTATTCAATACTTTTCTGTGAAAAATCCAGCTTTTGTGCTGAATATCTGATCTGGGTTTCGTCTACGACATCCTAAGAACCATCAAATCCCAAGTTTAGTTCTATCTCTCTGAAAATCAACACGGTGTTCTCTGCTCCTCATCTGAGTGTTCTCTCTTGAACTTGGATTTTGAAGCAGCAGGAATATGGGTCTCTGTATCAGCAAAGAGAAGGTGCCGGAGCCAGATGTTAACGGGCATAGATCAGGAGCGAATGTTGTTAGGCATCAACAGAGAAGACAAGAGCCTGTCGTTCAAGCGCAGCCCAAAATTCCTGCCCAGCAGACCCACCTATTACCCGAAAGGCGCCAGCCTCAGCCGCCGGCCGCTGCGCCAGTAAAGCCTTCTCCTCACTCCCTTGTTCATAAGCAAGATACGATCTTGGGAAAGCCTTTCGAAGATATTAAAGCTCATTACACGCTCGGAAAGGAACTGGGTAGAGGTCAGTTTGGTGTTACCTACCTTTGCACTGAGAATTCAACTGGTCACACGTACGCCTGCAAGTCGATATCAAAGAGGAAGCTTGTCAGTAAAAACGACAAGGATGACATAAAGAGGGAGATTCAGATCATGCAGCACTTGACCGGGCAAGCTAACATTGTAGAATTCAAAGGAGCTTATGAGGATAAGCAGTCGGTCCACCTTGTGATGGAGCTCTGCGCTGGCGGGGAACTATTCGATCGGATAATTGCCAAGGGGCATTACTCTGAGAGGGCTGCTGCAACCATCTGCAGGGCCATCGTGAATGTTGTCCACATATGCCATTTCATGGGCGTGATGCATCGAGATCTCAAGCCGGAGAATTTCCTGCTCTCCAGCAAGGAAGAAGGAGCGCTGTTGAAGGCAACAGATTTTGGGCTTTCTGTGTTCATTGAGGAAGGTGAGTTTTCAACTTAGTTTTAGGCCTCTTTACTTGTGCTTTGGTTATTCGATTGGCAACCATTCAGTAACTAATTGGACTGGTGGACTGAATTGTGCAGAAACATGGTTGATCTACATATTCCAAACTTTCTGTTTTGTTAGATATTCATTTCTTTTTTTAAAAGGAATTTATATTTATTAATAGCGATCAAAGTATAGCATGATAGTGTCCTCATCATAATTGGAAACTAAACCCAAGCCTTCTAACAAGGGCTCAAAAGAGAAAAACGGAAAGAATTGCTTTGAAACAACTAATCCCACATTTATCAAAAAACAACTATTCCCACTCCACGGCCAATCCTAACAAGGAGTGGCCCCAGTAGAAACCAGATCTTTTGTTTGTTATGTAGTGTTTTAGCTTATTCTCTCAAAAGCCTTTCAATTGAATCACTGGTTTCAAACTTATAAATCCTGCTACATCGCTATCCAAAATTTTACCGAATCTACACTTCCCTGTGTAGTCAATACCCATTCCAGTAATTAATCACAATATCATTCAACGGGAGAGTAGAAGACTTGATATTTGTAGCCCCCAAATAAACTGGCACAGGATGCTCTAGATTTGCCAAGCCCAGACAAACAATAGATGTAAAAAGTTACCATGCACATTTAATGTGGATAATTGCTGTAGTCTTATGGCATTGGCTTCCGGTTCTACTTCACTGGCTCATCTGATGGAATACAGTTATACTTAATTCTGGAAAATTGTACTTAATTTGTTTCAATGAAGTTAATGTTTCCAATAAAAAAAGCTATGGGAAAGAGGGAAATGGTTCTTTATATCTGAAGTTGAGGTATTGGAGTTGGACAAGTAATCAATCCAGTATGCTGATAAATTGCTTTAGCTTGTTAAGATAATATTTATTTTCACTCTTCAGTTTTAGGTCATGCAGATACTAGTGAAAACTTTTCAAAAATAAGAAATCATGAACATCTGAGAAAGTAGCTGCTAGAACCTTAGAAAATGAGACTATTTACTGAAGAACTCAGGTAGAACAGAATACCGCTGTTTTTATTTTATTGTACCATTATTGGTATTAATGACATGTTGAAGCATCTGGAGTTCTGGATATTATAGTTGGCCTTATAATTTTGGTCTGAGGGCAGCCACTTCTTTTTTCAAAAAAATGCCAAAGGTTAGGACCATACCCGGTCTACCTCTTCCAAGACCCCAGATAATTGGAACCAACATTGGGTAATGGCCCCTTTGAGTTGTTGAATGAAGTGGATATAAAAACAGAAATTTTTTGGTATAAAATAATGGTAATGAGAGCCTTCATACATATAGAATGATTGAAAGGCCATGTAGTTGATTATCCATTTTAAGGTAAAAAAGCTAGGAACTCCTATTGGTATGGTATCTCATAACTGTTATATGTAGGTGATATTCATTGCAAGGCCATTTATCAAAAAAAAAAAATCATTGCAAGGCCAGAAATGTGATATTCTTTTGCCAGTACCAAGGGTCTTGCACTCTTGCTACTGGATCATGCCATTCATTGTAGCTCTTATCCCAAGAACAATAGCCAACCAAGTGAATTCACTTGATGTTGGATACAAAGCTTGCTGTTTTGTATGTAAAACATCATATTAATGCTAATTGGATTTGTTCTTAGATCCACTCCAAGCTCAAAAAGTTGCTTTTCTTCAAGCATATCCAAGGCAGTGCTTAACTTAGATCAGTTGAGAGGCCAACACTGCTAGTCTTAAGTAGCTATATTCGTATGTCTCTCCTTATGGAAGTAGATGTTCCACCTAGGTTCAACTTATCCATACACCATTTGTACCATGTTCTGGACCTGGGCATGTCAATTTGTGTCCTTTGTTGATCCAACAAGTAATCAATACAGTTTTGGTAACTCAGTGTGTCCTAATTGACCAATTAAAATACAGAGTTTGATTACTAAACTTTACCATAGACCAACATTTTAAAAGGCATGTGAGGCTTATACCTTGAGATTTGCCTTGATGTGAAGCATACCTGAGGCTCATACTTGAGGTTCATGTCTAAAAGTGTTAATGTACCTGCATCACACTCTCAGGCATTTTGTCATAAACTGATAGACATGTTTATCATACATTAATTGAAGTACGAAATACATGAATGAGTTAAAGCCAAATTCTAAGATTTTTGGGTATGCATTTCTGTTTTGTACATTTAAGATTTTCAACACCAATTTGAGGTTTTGGTTTACATTAAGAGCTTTCTGATTGTCCAGAAGGATTTTTTAGAAGCTCTGGATACATTTAGACCTTGTTTATATCAAGTGTAACTCATTTACATATTTTGCTTATACAAATTGTAGTCCCTTTTGCTTAATTATACACTTTTGTCATGTTAGTTCATGTGTTTTTATTTGAAATAATGTGATCTAATGAGACTTAAACCTCATACCTTGAAGTTAATGCGTAATGTATTAGGAGATCTTGTCCCTGGCAACATGATCAACGTTTCAAACCATAGCTATATGCATATAAATAGAAATACCATGTAGAGCTCCCTGGTTTCCTATGTTTTAGTGCTTTCAAGTGTAGGCATTTAATTTTTTCACTATTTATCCCAACCTACACAAAAGATAATACTAGGAGCATGTCTGTCAACTTTTTTCCATCTACTCTTGTTTCTCTGATAATTTCTTCCATTTCTAACTTTTATTTTCTTTTGTGCAACTTCTAAATATCCTTTTTTTATGCTAGTAGTTCGCTGAGAGACATATTTTATGCCATTAGTATATCGATTGACAGACTTTGTGTTGTACTCCTGCAGGAAAGGTGTACAGGGATATAGTAGGAAGTGCCTACTATGTTGCTCCTGAAGTTTTGCGGCGTAACTATGGAAAGGAAATAGATATCTGGAGTGCAGGAGTGATCTTGTATATTCTGCTCAGTGGTGTACCTCCTTTTTGGGCTGGTAAAGGAAAATGATATGTTCTAGAAATGTTTTATGATTTATTATCTAATATAGATATTCTCTTTTCACCACTTTAACCGGAAAGCATGCGGTTTATATTTTAATAAATGGGTGTAACAGAAACGGAGAAAGGAATATTTGATGCTATACTACAAGGAGATATTGACTTTGAAAGTGCACCCTGGCCATCTATATCAAACAGTGCCAAAGACCTGGTTAGGAAGATGCTGACCCAGGACCCTAAAAAACGAATTACTTCTTCACAAGTTCTTGGTATGTTGTTTTCTTTTTCTCCTCCACCCCCCTTTTTTTCCTTTCCTATTACCACACCTGTAGCATATGGTTATTCAAATATTATCTGCATGGTTTTTATTGTATCCTATTTCTTTTCTGCATTTAATTGTTGCTAAAACCACACATGTAATTTAAAATTTCATACGGCCCCATGAATTGACATCTCTTTTTCATCTGAGTTTGGAACTTGAGCATGTAAACTGCTATAAATCAGAATATGTCAAGTCATGGATATATGGCTGGAATAGATAATGTGAGCAAACATCCAAATTTTCATGGTTTTTGCTAAAAACAAGCCAATTTTACACAATAAAATAGTTTGTCAGTATTATGGGTAAACTTCAGAAATCAGATTATTATGACAAATTCAAATTGATCCAGCATGATTGATGACAAATGTACTACAACTTATACTATAAATGTGCGCTTCTGACTAAGGTTTTAAACTTTCATGGTTGATGGTCCAGAGCACCCATGGATTATAGAAGGTGGAGAAGCATCAGACAAGCCAATAGACAATGCAGTTCTCTTTAGGATGAAGCAATTCAGGGCGATGAATAAACTTAAGAAGCTTGCTCTGAAGGTAGGTTTTTTTTTTGATAGATAACAAGAAACTTTTATTAATTATGAAAAAAATTGCTGTGTACAGCTGATGATTAAAACTAGCTGCCAACAGTAGCTAGAACAATCTAGCCCCTTCACATTTCCCCCCAAAACATTTGCTCCCTATTTACCCCTTGTCCTGAAGGTAGTCTATTTTTCTGAAAATGAGAACATTGTTTGGAGAGGTATAAAAGAAAGGGCAAGACATGATGTGGTGGACTTAATGTATATGGAGTTGCTCATTCACAAGATTGTTTAGGACTAAATTGTCATCTATGATCTAACCAGGTTGGAGGTTTGTGATTGGGAAGTTGGAACATTTAAGTTCATATGATTGGGTGGGGTCCTTGTGAAACACAAACCAGTCTGATCCACAGGAGGTCCACAGGAGGGGCAAGGAGCATTGCTAGAGACTCCATTAGTGTTTTCTTCTCTTTGTATTTCCACAAGCTGATTTGGATGATCATATATCGTTCTCTAAGTTAGATCTCAACAGGCTATGATTTGCTTTTGCTTTACAAAATCTTATTGGGTTCTGGATACTTTTCTAGGTTATTGCAGAAAATCTTTCTGAAGAAGAAATTAAAGGGTTAAAAGCAATGTTCACAAACATGGACACTGACAAGAGTGGTTCAATCACCTATGAAGAATTGAAGACAGGATTGGCTCGACTTGGGTCAAAGCTCTCAGAAGCTGAAGTCAAGCAACTCATGGAAGCTGTAAGACACAAGTGGAAAAGAGCTTAATTTCCTGAATTTTCCTTTATCCCCTTCTATTTGGCTGAAATTCTTGGACTAATCTGTTTTTTCTTTTCTTTTTTTTTCCAGGCGGATGTGGATGGAAATGGAACAATTGATTATATTGAGTTCATCACTGCAACGATGCATAGGCACAGGCTAGAAAGAGATGAGCATCTATATAAAGCCTTTCAGTATTTTGATAAAGATCATAGCGGGTGAGCCTACTACTTCCTTTTTTGGTTCATTATGACTTTGTTGTCCACAAATCATTTACTTCTAAGTGGGGCCAGCAGTTGTCTATCATAGGCTTAATCTGGCAGTCATATTGCTCAACTTGTTTTTTCCCTCCTCTCTAATAAAGATACTAAACATTGGCAATCCTAGCAGCAGTTTGGCAAAACTAAATGTTTCTTCAACTACTAATTTGTAAGGAAGGCCTTTAAATGGAAGGGTTTGGGTAGATGGACTGGAATGGCCGAATGTGGGAGAAGAGAGAAGGGAGTGGTTAGAGAGGAGTTTTGAATTGGAAGAAGTAAAGGAAGCAGTTTTTTCAATGGATAGATCAAAAGCTCCAAGCCCTGATGGCTTCTTAATGGCTTTCTACCAAGATTGTTGGGAAATTTTGAAACAGGATCTATTGCTAGTTTTTAATGAGTTTCATAGAAGGGGGGTAATTAACCCGGGGTTGAATTCCACATTTATTACTTTGGTCCCAAAGAAGAAAGAGGCTTCAGACGCGGGGATTTTAGGCCAACCAGCTTGGTAAACAGTTTGTATAAAATAATTGCAAAAGTTCTTTCTCTTAGGATTAAAATGTTCTCCCTTCTATTATTGCACCCAACCAAGGTGCGTTGGTGGAAGGAAGACAGATCACTGATCAAATCTTGATTGCAAATGAGAGTTTGAAGAGCTTTAGAAAATCAAAAAAGAAGGGAGTGGTTTGCAAACTAGATCTAGAGAAAGCATTTGACCTAGTGGATTGGTCTTTTTTGCTAGAGGTGTTGAGATGTTTTGGGTTCGGGAACAAATGGTGCAAATGGATATGGGTTGTGTTAGAAGTTGCCATTATTCTATTTTGGTTAATGGAACTACGGTTGACTTCTTCCCTACTTTGAGAGGGATAAGACAAGGTGACCCTCTCTCCCCTTTTTTGTTCACCCTAGTTGCAGATGTCCTTGGGAGACTAATTCAGAGAGATGACTCAAGGAACTTATTGAGAGGCTGGAGAGTAGGAAGGGAGGAAGTTCCACTCACCCACTTGCAATTTGTAGATAATACTATTATTTTTTGTGAAGGTGGGGACATAAATTGGATTAGAAGTTTAAAATTGACAATACAACTCTTTGAGAAAATGTCTAATCTCAAGGTGAATTTTGATAATAGTTGTATTGTGGGGGTAAACATGGAGGAGAGGGTGATAAGAGAATACACAAGTTTGCTAGGTTGTGAAGTTTCGGACTAGCCTTTGACTTATTTAGGCCTCCCCTTAGGAGATAACCCCAAGAAAGAAAGCTTTTGGAACCTAGTGGTGGAAAGATTCGAAAAAAGACTTGCTTCTTGGAGGAAAAATTGTCTTTCTTTGGGGGGGGGAGGATAACTTTGATTAGGTCTACCATAGCTAATCTACCTGTTTATTTCTTGTTTGTGTTTAAGATCCCCACTAATGTCTCCAATAGGTTGCAAAAGTTGATGAGGGACTTCTTGTGGGAGCCAGGCGATGAGAAAAGGGACCATAGAGTGGGTTGGGAAGTATTGACTAGGAGTAAGAAGTTAGGAGGTCTTGGGAAAGGGGGTGTCAGGAAAAGAAATATGGCTTTGTTGGGGAAATGGTTGTGGAGGTTTCCTTTGGAAAAGGATAAATTATGGACAAATATTGTGGCTAGCATTCATGGGCTCGAGGGCAATGGCTGGAATCCTAGAATTCTAGCAAGGTTTATAGGTGCATCTCCTTGGAGAGCCATCCATGACATCCTTCTAGCTTTCTCCCCTTATATCAGGTATGGCTTGAACTCAGGTAACCTAATAAAGTTTTGGGAACAAACTTGGGTTGGGGATTCCCCTCTAATGGAACAGTTCCCCTTTTTGTATGCTCTTTCAGACTTCAAGAATGAACCTATCTCTTCTTTTCTTGTTCCATCAGACTCTTCTTCTGGGTTTGGGTGGAACTTGGGATTGAAGAGGGCCATCAAGGATACAGATTTGGACTCTTTGGTATCTTTGTTAAATACTCTTGAAATTGTTTTTCAGATCCCTCTAAGGAAGATATTAGATTTTGGATCCCCTCTCCCTCGGGCACCTTCTCCTGTGCCTTGTTCTTTGATACCTTATCTCAGCCTTCTGCTCCTCTTGGATTGCCCTTCCTTGTTAGTGAGATTTGGAGCAAGCCCATTCCTCATCGGGTTGGTAGTTTTTGTTGGGAAACTTTCCTGGAAAGAATCAACACAATTGATATGCTTCAAAGAAAGAGACCTAATCTTTGTTTATCCCTTAATAGGTGTTCCCTTTGCAAAGCTAATGGGGAAACTGACTACTACCTTTTGGTTTCTTGCCATTTTTTTAAGACTATTTGGGAGTGGGTTTTTTCCCTTTTTGGGTGTATTTGGGTTCCTGCTGTGGATGTGCAAAGCCTGTTTTCACCCTCCAGTTTGCCTAAGAAAAGAGGGAGAATGATGTGGAGATGCATTAGGGCAGCAGTTTGTCGGTCTTTGTGGGAAGAAAGGAACTCACGTATCTTTTCTGACAAGGAAAGAACCTATGAGAGTTTTAACAGAACTGATTCTGTTAAGGGTGGTCCATTGGCGTGTTCAGGAATGAGGAGGGGATTATTTTAGCTTTGTTCTCAGGCCCTATTGAAGAAGGAGACTCACTTAGAGCCGAGATCTTTGCGGCTTTGGAAGGTATCTAAAGAGTTCGGGATCTGAACTTCAGGAGGTTGATCCTTGAAGGTGATTAGATGGATAAAGGAAGATAACAGCGGCATGTGGAGGTTTAGCAATGAAATGAAGAAACTCAAATGGCTTACTAGGGGTATTGAGGTGAAGTACAGCTGGGTGAAAAGGAGTACCAACTCACTTGCTGATGGTCTAGCCAAACAAGGGGCGTATAGGGATTCTTTATTTTGGGCTAATTTCTAAGTTTTTCTTGTAATCTATTGGTGGGGAGCTAAGACATTTTATCTCCCCCTTTCTTGTACTTATATTTCTCTTATTTAATAAAAGTTTTTGGTTACTAATAAAAAAAAAAGAGTATCCAAAACCATGTTGTTTAGGTAAGCAATCCGGGATTATATATATTAAAATGCTGCAAATTACCTGTAAAAGGGTTATTACCCTATAATGGCCTGGGCTCTTTATGAATTACTACTGTTTCTTATAGTATTCTCAATGTCACAATATGAAATTTTCTTTTATTGGATTTTTTGGTTCTTGTTTCTTATGTTGTGTTTGGGGTTGGTAGATGGAGTTCTTGGCATTGTTCTCCAAGACATGTCCACCATTAAAAAGATGTTTATTTTATCAGCACCATTAAATAGATATAAATATAGTTGAAAGTTAACAAGGCTAGTCATTGAGTAAGTCGATATTTATTCTCTATGACTAAAGTTGTCACTTGACTAGGCTTGGTACCTGAATTTTAGCCGACAGACTTCTTTATTTTTTGTTAGGTTTCTGAGTGTCCTACAGGCATTCCTATGTTATTAAACTTTCTTGGACAATGCATTCTGAACAGGTTTATTACAAGAGATGAATTGGAAACAGCTATGAAAGAGTATGGAATGGGTGATGAAGCCAGCATCAAGGAAATAATTTCGGAGGTGGACACGGATAATGTAAGTTCTCTCAAATTTCAAACCTGGAAGTCTTGTGCTATAGAATTATAAATGTTACTGAAGACTATTGAACCAACAGGATGGGAGAATCAACTATGAGGAGTTCTGTACAATGATGAGGAGTGGAATGCAGCAGCCAGTCAAACTCATTTAATGCCAGTGACGGCCATTCTTCATATCTGCACTCAACTCTGATAGATTATGAGCAATATTTAATGACCTTTGGCAAGTGAACTACGTTACCAGTTTGGAGGGGCCTAGAAAACTGGTGATCTCATTGGATCCCTGTTGTATGTGCAGTTTCCTACTTTCCTTTTTCTACAAGGTCTTTTGCACTATTCTCAGATTCAACTGCCAAGGCGAACTTTGCATGTAAGCTGTTGCTTTAGATTGTTTGGAGGTTGTACTCTTTGTGCATATCTAGTTTCTGTATCTTTTTTTTTTTTATTTGCTTTTTTCTCGAAGAATTTGTACTTATGCCTTCTTGAATACACTCAGTTATATTGAGTGACATACATGCAGAGTTATATGAGAAAAAACTGTTTTTGTTCTAGAATTTGAGTAGGAGGGGGGGGGGGGGTATACTGATTGATTATGTTGCTTTTGAATATTTTGCATTTTGTAAGGTAGGAAAAATAAGCTTCTGTGCATTTATTGCTGTTTGCTGTGGTAATTATAGTTTTGAGTCGGGGCAAGGCAAGCATTATTGATTGCAAAAGCAAAATTCAAAGAGGCATCTGTTGTGATTTCTTGCATGTATCAAACATGGTGCATACTGCATAGTGCAGGTAAGATGAAATAAGAAATGTCATCATGCAGAGACCAGCAAAGCAAAAGTAGGTAGCTCTCCACTGCATTCAAGTCCAACAGTTGCTACTGGATGGGTGGGAAGGGTATGTTTTGTTATTTCATTTTCTTAGTCAAATGGGCATCTCATTTTGCTTTTTTTTTCTTTTTAATTTTCTTTATTTATTTATTTTGCATGAGATAACGATTCCAAGATCCACAAGGAGGTCAAAAACATATTTAAGAAATTAAAAATGGGGAAGGTCAACAAAGAAGAAGCTCAGCCAAAATATCTATAATTTTACTTGAGAAGGCCATTTTGGCTCATCTCACGTACACCATCTGTTTGGTCGCTTGATGAAACACATCAAGAGTTCACCTGAACCGATTGGAGAAATCAATGAAAAGCAATCAGGAGATGCAAACGAGGAACAGCATGGTTTGCAGGTTGAAGAGAAAGGTAAAAAAAATGGAGGGGGCCTGGGAGTTCTGATAGAGAATTGCAGGCCAACGATTAAGCTGGCGAGACAAAGACTCAGGAGACAGGAGGTCAGCCAAAGACTAAATTGATCTGTTGAATGTAATGTCCTCTTCGCCTTATCTTTCACGCTTCCCATGGCCTACCTCTTCTCTGGTTTCTATGGATGACTGCTAAATCGCTATATACGAGGACCCAAGTGGCAGATAGCACAGTTTTGGACAGCAGCAACATCATTGCAAATTGCAATTGGGTTAATAGTAATGCACTGGGAAGCTGATGAAAACCAGCTTGCAAAAAAGTGAAGTGGGTGAAGGGCCTTCTCCTTCTGTGCGTGGTTGGAAGTTGGAACAACCACAGAATCCATGGATGGACATGAATACAGCTCACGGACGCACAGAACCTAGATTCCATAATTAGTCGACTTATCTGTCCACAGACGTTGGGCGGTGATCTGGGCAACATTCAGAATCGGAGAATCCTAATTTAACGAGAAGGTTACAGCCCGATATCGTGGGCACTATCAGTCGGCGACAGAAGGAGAATGTAAAGTAAATCTCCTAAAAACCGACACTTGATAATTTGAATGAATCTCTAACTTTTAATCACGAATAAAATTTAATTTAGTTTTCGAAATCAAATAAAAAATCAAGCACAAAGGCTTTCCATTGTTGTAGGTACTATTCTTTCAAATAATGTGTGATGTTTGATTACAAATAAAACCTAATCAAATAAAAAATTAGGTGTAAATTCTCCCACTCTAATTCTGAAGGGATTAAATAAATCTTAATTCAAAAAGAAAATGGTTCCACTCTAATTCTAAAATCATATTCTTTTCCAATTCAAAAAACTAAAATCATATTCATTTCCATTAAATCACAAAAAAAGCTAATTTAGTTTCCTGACTTGAATAAAAAAAAAAACACCCAGTACAAAGGCTTTCATGATGTTGTATTGATGTGGATTCCATCTTTTGAACGAAGTGTGTTGTTTGATCACACACACTGAACCTAATTCAGTCTTACAAATCAAATAAAAAATTCAGTATACATGTTAATGACTTGTCACATAGCAAGGAGGCCCATATGGGTGATATATAATTGTACCAAGTACAAGTAGGGGTCATTAATTAATAAGGCTGCGTTTGGAAGGAGTACAAAACAAAAATATCCAGTTCATGTGAGTGCAAAGTGGTTCAAGGATTTACACGCCCACTTTGCACTGAGCTCACATTTGTTTTGACCGATGCAAATAACAATACAATTTTTATGGATGTTTGGCACTTCCATCAATGCAAATACAACTGTCTTGCTACCCAATGGTGTTCCAACTACTCCCACCATTAAAGAAATATGAAAAATAACAAATTAATTAATAAGTTATATAAAATAAAAAAATCAAGAAATTTTAATAGAAATTCCAGAAAAATAAGAAATACGCAATAAAAACTTTTTCTGCACTGTTTCCTAGCATGAAAATGCAAATGCTGGAATCGAACACTACGGTTTGAATCTCTGCCTTGTAGTCTTGAATTAGATGCAAATGATGCATCTAGATATTTGAGCTTGAGAACCAAGTTGTCGAGCTCCAGCCAAGTTGAAGCTGCAAAATTTGAGGCTGCTTCTGATTCTGATATCCAACTGAAGCTTGAGGTTCAGAGATAGAAAATGCTGCCTTAAAACTTCAGCTTTTTGTTCGAGTTGAGGAGCTTGAAATTAGGACTCTGAAAGGGACCTAAATACACAAACAACTGAATCAACTAACGAGCAACATTTGGAAAGGAAAAATCTACGACATTTTATTTTCATCAAGACTATTTATGAATACTATATATGCATCATATTCATGAAAAGGAAAAAAATGATGCATCTAGGACAATACAGCATGAAGGTAACCATATTCCAAAATCCAAATATTTAGGTGGGTCAAAAAAGAGATATTTATCAGCTGCTCATTACTTTTCAAGTATTCAAAGCTCAACCTTAGAGCATGTATCCAACAAGATGGAAGCATTTACAACTTGAGAAGTGTGTAAATACTTTCTCTTTCTTTCTCTCTTTAGTTTATTTATTTCTATTTAATAATCAACAAAATGTTTTCTATCATTTTACTGATGAAAAAATTTACAGTCATTTTTTTGGGACAAGGTAAAGTAAAATTTGTAGTCATTTTAAAGGAAGCCTTGCCGTCCAAAGTTGGATAACAGGTGCAATACAAATATGACAACAAGCTGATCAGTCTTTCTTAAGTAAAGTTAGTAGCCATCTGATTAATGGCATGCATAGTTGGACATTCCATTACATCTTTATGTCGATAGTGAATGCTTTATATCGATACCATCAGATCTTGGATTAATCAACATGCCTTGGAGAGCTGATAAGTTGTTTTTCTGTGAATTTCTCAGCATCCTTGATGGATGTGAACCTTTTTCATAAGATTTGCAGACAGAAATCAAAATAAACAAGTTGACATTTAATGGTGCCAATCTATGCTCATGCTGCAAGGTAGAAAGTTATCCTTACCATTTATTTAATATATTCCTTTTTTAAGATCGACATCGTTTTGAACTGACAGTGAACATACAATGTATTTCTGTGCTTGGTGAGGATCACAAGCTTCTAATATTACAACTAAACAAATAAAATTCTTATTTTCATCAAGTACCCACAATCAATTAAGAAAATGGCATTGTGGGACCGGAGCCAACTGAAGCACTTATGAAGTTCCAGTCAGACAAAGTCTTGCTTCTAGGCCGAAAACGTCAGAGCAAGGTAAAGCAATTGACTTGAATTGTGCAAGGATGTATATCTGATTTAAATGCTAATACGTTTTTAGGTTATTAAATGGTTAAGGTGTTTGCAGGTTTTCTTTGGCTAGAATTTAGTATGCAGGGAATCACTCACTCAAGGGAAGGGAAAGGTTATTAAGGTGGGAGATCATGTTTATATTACTAAGGAGGTTTCCTCTTCTGCAGATGCAGCAGTTTAAGACATCATAAACCTTGCAATTGTGCTGATGGCCTTTTGGGCCTCCAATGACAATGATTTTGTCATAATACCTATGTATTTGCTGTAATTGGAAGAAGATATATCTCCATGGAAACACCATGTGCCCACTTGGGTTCTCTTACATAAGATAGTTTTGGGATTCTCTCACCAATCTGAATCCTATGGTTTTGACCTGAGAGACTCATGCTATGATGTCACATGTAACATAAACTGTCCAAAATCCAGGTTCCAAAGTTCCTATTCCTGATTGAAATCTTAACAGGAAAGGTGTTACTCACCAATCTGAACTGAACCATCCAATACTAGTCTAAATTACCAAATTAGAATGAATGATTTGTGGGAAAGGAAATCATCAAAACATAGATTACACCTTTCATTGTCTTTAGAGCAAAGAGTTTTCAGTCAATGAAGCCTGTAATTTGTGATCATTGAACATATAACCAATAGCAAAATTCCACTTAGATTCATATGCTATATCTTTAGATTCACAAAGAATATTTATTGCTACAAAAGAAACTTGTTAATTTCTCATGTGGAGCAGCAAATTTTTCTACAGATGTCTCCAATGGGAGTTTTAACACTAGTACACTAGAAAACAAGATGATACAATCAAGTTTACTTGCAAGTGATTGAAGGTTCCAAAAAGTGTTTTACAATCAAGTTTGAAGGTTCCAAAAACAGATGTCTCCTATTGTTTGTATAGCATTGGCGGGGCTCTCTTCCTCTCTTTATATATCAATGTAATTTTATTTTCATATTTAATTTTTAAGCATAGTTGTTCATCAAATTAAATAAATAAAAAGAATCCATTAAATAGTAATCCTAGTAATGACTAGTAAATTAAATACGCACTGATCAACATCACTTATCATCCACTACATTGTACTAATAAAAAAATAAAGGATGAAAATAAGAAAAGAAATGAATAAATGAAATAATTTTGGCCAAGGAGATAAGAGTGCATGTTAACAATGAAAAAGAACTATAGTAAGAGCACAATGGTGAGTGCTCCAAAAATAGCAGTTCTGCTGATGTTAATTCTATTCAACCATTATAAGGCTATGGATAATCAACCATAGAAAACTAGCAATTTGAAGAAAAAATCTCCTGTTTGAACCTGAGCACTTACATGTTCTTTGGTTTTAACCACTTGAGGATATGGATTTTGTAGGCAACATGCAACAACAGTTTCAGAGCCCACTTCAAGCTTTTAGGGACTAAAGAGAACTTGCCTGTTCTGTCTCTACTTCATTAGTTCAATTCAAAGCTCGAATTAGCCCTAAACCCTAATACCTTCTAATAGATTTTTTTACTCATTTCACCGATTCTACCCCTTTTTAAAGAAACTATTTCCCTTGAAAAGTACAGTGGCTTGAGCTGCCTGCCTCACAATTTGTGGTGCATAGTGAAAGGTGTATTGACTCTTAACACTTCAAAACCAATACACTTGGAGCGAAACATGGCATCTTTCCTTTAATTTCATTTTATTTATTTCCTAATAACACAAACACTTGGAGCAAAACCAATACACAAAGCCCATTAGAGAGTAGTCCCGAGGATAATGAGAGGGATATTAAACAGGAGAGAAAGAGAGAGAGAAATTACTAGACATTAATAGATACTGAGATGAAAAGTTAATATCGACGCCATTTGCATTTTCACAAAATAGATTCTCGCTATTTATCGACAAAGATAAATGGCTTTTAAACAGGAAATCATATCAAAAAGCTAGAACAACGATAAGAAATCAAAAGCAAATGATAGAACTCATTGAACTAATTATAAGGAGAGGAGATTTAGTGGTGTTCAACGATCAGACTTACCTCTCTCACTCTGAAAATAAAGGCAGATCGGTGGATTTAGATAATAAGGTCGGATCTCTGTTCCGACGAGAGAAGCGACCTGGAAATGAAAAAAAAATCAAAATAAGAGTTCAATAGATCAAAGTAAGAATAGAGTTACCTCTCTCATTTACAGAAATCGAAGGCAGAGATCGTTACCTCTATCGAAGCTCAGAATCGTTCTCTTCTCTCCCAAATTCTCGAAACAATCGAAATCGATGCAATGTGTATGCCTATTTACTTCGACCGATAACGAGAGCAAAATTTTCTTTGGTTTTGAAGTCACTTACTTTCGATGCAAATCCTAGTCCATACACATTTTTGCATATTTAAGATTAATGTATTTTTGAACCCTTATCAAACGAATGCAAATTTAAACCAGAGTATAATTTTGCAACGGTTCAGCATTTGCATTCCAACAAAGCGCAGCTAAGTAATTATGGGTGCCATTCATTTTCTTGTTTGGGCCACTTGCATAAGATTTTATTTAGTAAAAAAAGAAATACACTTATTTCTTCAAACCCCTAGGCTTAGTTTGGAAGAAATACAAGTATAAATTTGTAGAATGCAAAACCTTGTATTTTGTACGTAGTTGTAACATATTTGTATTCGTACTCTTTCCTAGGGCTGTTCATAAGAAGGCCCAACCCGACCAACCCGGACCGATCCAACTCGAGTCGGTCGGGTTTTCATCAACACGGGTCGGTTTCAGGTTGTGCAAATTCCTAAACCGATGATTTGGGTCGGTTTTTGTTTTCACACAAGAAAACCGAAAGTGATCCGAACCGAACCGACTTAGTTCCTAGTTCGAACATGAAGTTCTAAAACCCATTAGGCCACCTAGTTTTTGAATGGTTGCAAGAAACTTTGGATTAATGAATAGTGATTAATGAACTACTTTTGCGATTAACTTTTCATTTAAATTTTGTCATAGGAGATGGCTGAAATGATGTTCAATTTATGACTATTTTTAAAATTAGCAAGATTTTATCACAGGGATGAACTTAGAACCGAAACCGACCCAACCCGATTCAAACTGACTAAGTTGGTTTTGCTTAACACTGAGTCGGTTTAATTTCTATGTTAGGTAACTCGACCAGGTCGGATCGATTGGAAAAAATGCAGTAAACCGACCCAACTCAACCCATGAACAACCCTACTCTTTCCAAACTAAGCATTATGAGGTAAAATGAAATGATCACTTGGCATAGCATATGATGTTGAAGTGCACACTCAATTCATCAACGCCCTAGTAACCCTCCTTCATCCATGTAACTTGAATCCACCTGCTCACTCCCACCTTTCCTCCCTCTAATAACTTTCCCTCTTAATCCCATTATTATGCTAATCCTGCAGCATCCGTGATGGGGTTCTCTACAACTAAAAACTTTTCACACACAGTGTGAAAGTATAAGAATACAGCATTTAACATATATATACAGGAGATATTCTCAATATGCAATTGGATGTTATGTGTATAGAGATTTTGCTCTCAGGATACTTACTAATCTTTCAATATGCAGTTAGATGCTAATCCCGAATCATTTTCTCTTTTCTTAACCTTTTCATATTCTTTATTTATGATGTTCTTCTTTCTTCTTTTTCTTTTTTACAGTTTAGCTACAGCAGTTTGATAACTCAAAACAAATTATATTCTTTGGACGGGCCAGGTAGCATCAGCCATTTACAGTCCTGTGCATTTGCATGGGTTTCTCCTAAGTTTTAGGCTGATCAGTTTGGAAGGAGCACAAATACAGATTTCTAGAATGCAAAACCTTATATTTTGTATGTATTTGTATAGTACATATTTGTAGCCTTAGAGAAACAATGTACCCATCAAATCCATGTGTATTTTCTACTTGGCATCTGTTATAATTTATACCACGTTTGTTAGTAGATTACTCAAAACAGTATATATGTCTAATCCCTCTAACACAGGTTAATAGCCACCATATTGGCTTAGGGGTTTCTCTAAATGATCCTCATTTCTTCATATTATAACAGTGTGCTCTTCTAGCTAAGCTAATATTTTTCTTTTTTAGCTAATTTTTATGCAATTAACCAAATAGATAAAAAAATAAATAAACAGAGAGAGAGGTCTCTGGTCCCAATTTGATAGAGAGCCACTGAGCCAGGAGGACGAGGAGGGAAGAAAATAGTGGTTGGACAGAGAAGATAAATAAGATAAAGCCTAAAGATTCATGTGGAAGGTAAAAAGTCTGGGAGTCCACCAAAAAAAAGGGTCAAACTCTCGCTTTTATTTTTTATATAGAAAGAAAAGAAGTGAATCTCTCTCTCTCTCTCTACACCAGATGGATAAAGAAAGAAATTAATGCATATGAACCGGATAAACACTACCTCGAGTCTCTCTTTCCTCCTTTAATTTTTCTTATAGTACACTGGTTAAGTATAAGTACCTCAGGGAAAATAATAATCTTTGGATAGCTGTATCAATTATCAAGTACCCTTATAATTTATAACACAACCTGTGCATTTGCATGGGTTTCTGCCAGGTTATTCATATTCCCCAGACCTTGTGCAGAGCATTTTAGGGAGATTTCAGTGTCCTTATCAAGCAAATTTAGACTGTATTTTTCACTTGGGCAGCTTGTGTACCATGTGTATGTGTGTATTTGGTCTTCCATTTGTTGATCCCCATTCTCATTTTGGACTGTGCTATCTCTCATTAGCTAAATTTTCTACAATTAACGAATTGTTGCATAAATATGTAAGATAATTAGAGGTGACTATGGTTTTTGAACTGTTGTTGATTCGGACGGTCAGACCATTTGGCCCAGGAATCATTCAGGCAATTGATTTCATTTTACCCTGAATTTGGTTCTTGGTTAAGAGTTATTGAATCAGTCAATAATTTATTGATCCAAGCTGTTGAACCATTGACCCGTTTAATGATTTTTGGCTGTTTTTTATTTTTAATTTTTGTTGTTAGAATGGATCATTCGTTCGAACCAGACAGTTGAACCGTCGACTTGAAAACTGGTGGCCAAAAGGGTTCTGTTTTTCGGGTCGTTTTTTAAAACCATGGGTTGGGCTAGTCCAAGTTCCTGGCCTATGCCTTTTACTTATAAAATGTTAAATATAAGTATTTTATACTATATGCTATGTAATATATATGTATAAAATTTATTTATATATTGTATAATACATATATAAGTGTCATATAATAATGTTTATTTATAAATATAAAATATAACACAAAATAACATATATGGGCCAGGCAGAGCACAACCCAGAAATTTGTGGGACTTATATGGACCTAGGTCCATGCCAGGCTGAATATTATCACCTCAACCTGGCAATTGGGTTGGATGGGTTGGGTCAAAAGGTTGATTTCAGGTTGGGTTGGGAATTGTTAGACCCTAATCCTAAATATTTGGGTTAGGGTTGACCCATGAGTCAATTTGGGTCATCTACAAAGATAACTAAAATTAAAAAAAATAAAGAAATAATACAAGAAAAATATTAAAATTAAAGGAATTAACCTTAAAATTCTAAAAATAAAATAAAAAACTTGAACATTTAACAATTCAAAGAGGAAACACTACATAGTAGAGATTAAAAAGTGGAAATTTCAAACAATACATAAATAGTAATTAGACCTAACAATCAGGTTAGTGGGTTGACCCATGACCCAACCCAACCTAAGCTGATTTTTCGAGTTGGGTTGGATCGGGTCATTCTCAAATTCAGATAGTTAAATATGAGACCCTAATCCCTTTTTTTTATCAGATTGGATTGGGTCGGATTCGCAAATTAGGTCAACTTTTTGCCAGGTCTTCATCCGTTAAGACAATCTCTCAGCCAGCCTCAGCAAATCCCAGGAAATTCTGTAAACATTTTACCTTTGTTTTTTCCTGTATTTTTTACCTTTCAATCGTTTCCCTTGAGCTCAACCAAGCCTTGTGCCTACCATATTGAGTCAGCTACATGTATCTTGTTCAATCATTCTACTTTGTTCAGATCAATGTGGTATTTAATACATATGATCCCATTTCAATCTTCCTACCCAAAAAAGAAAAAAAAAAACATTTCAATCTCTCTCTCAGAGCACCAAACCAAATTAGAAAACATAACTTCATTTATGTTTTTGCTTCACCTTTTCATTTCTTCCTCCTTCAAAGCTAATATAGACACATCATGTGAAGCTAATCAATAGAAAAAGTGATGTCTCACAGAGATTAATCTTTTAAAACACAAACTACAAGACAAAGCAAAACATATATTACAACTCCACTGGCAACCCTTGAGTTCCAAGGTTTCACCCATATTTTTTATTAGAAGAAAAGCACATCTTCCATGTAAACCCTAATAATAAACTAATTAGAAGAATGGAATCCAAGGTTAGTCTCATATTCCCCTGACAAAGTTTTCATTTGAGACAACCATTTAAGTTCCTACTCCACGTGAGCTTGTTTTCTATCGTGTACCCCACTATCACAAAAATGCACGTGTGTACTCTTTCTTTGTTTTTTCATTAATACATGGGGAAGAGAGTCCTCACTCCTCACTCTCACTCCTCACTTCTCACTCCTCACTCCTCACCCATGGATAGTAGTCAAGACATGCACAAATACACACACATCAAATTTCAATCTTTTTTCTCTTTTTTGAAATAGTTATGCAATTCACAGCTGTGGGGGGGGAACCTATGTTCTTTACCAAGAAGTTCCATAAGGAATAAAACTGTAACTCTGTACGGTTTACACATAGAGACAAGAGTTGCAAGAAAACTGAAAAGCCCAGAACTTCTGTCCATGCATCTGGTATTCAATGTTTAATGTTACATCACAGCTTGTGACCTTATGCTTCATGACCTATCACAGGCAGCAGGTTTGTCCACGTCCAGTGGGCCCATCACTCCTACCCATTGAAAAATCCAAACACAGTTGGCATATCCAGTTAGGTCTGTAAGTTATGTGTGGGGTGTTCCAATGAATCCAGCCATTAACCCACTCCCATCACTGTGATTGAGCTATTGTCATTTGTCATAACCCCATAAGATTCAAGCACTCAACTTTTATTATGCCTTGGATTCTACTATTACAGACAGGCTACTGCTACTTCTGTTACTACTTGTGCTTGTGTTATCCATCTTGCCACAACCTACAAGTAGTGTGGTCGGGCTGTCAGTAGCTGACCCGACCCGCTGACCTGTTCGAACTTGTGGGGAGCTGCTGCAATAATAAGTGAAGCTAACTGGGTTGCCAAGTATCAATCATGCAATCCCAGCATTAAATTGAGGCACAGCTTAGGGGTTTTTGGGTCTCTGCATCTTTGTTTGAAGTAACAGATTGGTTTTCTATCCAAAAAAGAAAAGTAACAGATTGGTTGGATTGGATGAATCCAGCAATATAAACTTAAATCCTAACAGCTCAGGCGGGTTAATGGGGGCTAATCTCTATTAGTGCTTGTCTGACAAATTTTTGTGCTAAGCAAGAAGGAAGAGAGAGAGAGAGAGAGCATTGAGAAGCACGTGGTGTTGCATGCCTCAGTCCCCGCCGCTCTCTTTTACAAAACTGAAACAAAAACCAAACTGAAAAGACTCCATTTCTTCCTCATCGTCATTCACACCTCTCTTGTTCTCTTCCTCCTCTCTTTCTATCTCCGAAACAAGAGAACATCTATTCATTGCAGAAAAGTCTCTCCCTCATTCTCCTCTAAGACATTTTTTTTTTCCTTTTTCTTTTTGTTTGTTTACTTCTCTGTTATTTCTCTGCAACTTGGCCAGCACTCATACTCGGCACAGTGTATCTTGCGCCTGCTCGTTCTCGCTCTCCTTGCAGTGCTTTGATGCTTTGTCTCAGCCTTTTTTTACTAGATTCTGCGCACGGTTGCTTCTCTTTCCCTTCATTTGGTCATTCTATTTAATTATAACTTATCAATGCTATCATGAACGTCCAATTTCTCTACTTCGGCCCCCAAGATAACTAACCTTCTGCTATTGGTCTTTTCTTAATCTTTGAATTTGGGAACCCGTTTGGAGGTTTTGCTTTATGGGTTTATGGTTTTCCCTTCTTCTTGTTGAACCCTTGCACCTCCCCCCTAAATCTCTAAACTTTCAACCTGTTCATCGAGGTTTTGGTTAATGGGCATTGTTGCTCCATTTTTCTGCATTAAGACCACTCGTTCGATGTGGGTTTCTCTCTAGAGTTCTAGATTCTGAAGCAGAGCCTGTGCATTCTCAAATGGGAGAGCTTCAATCCTGTGCGAGCTTACTTAATGCTTCTGCATTATGTGCTAGAAGTCGAGGGTGCTCTTTAGAATTTTCTGTTCCTTCGGCTCCGCTGAGCTGTGAAGAACTAGAAGTGAAAAGAGAGGGTGTCAATATCGCAGAGATTTTGGCCGAGTTGCAGAGGGAGCGGAAGAAGAATGCAGAGCTTATGGAGAAGATATCCTTATTGGAAGCTCAAATACAGGAGAGAGAAAAGGCCTCTCTCCTCATTCCTGGACATGTACGATTTGATTATCAGAGATCCATTTCTGAATTTCTTCTGCTATTTTGCATCTTGCCTGGTGCATTTGTTTTGTCTTTACTGTAACTAATGCTTCTTTTTCTCTTTGTCAAAGTTTTCTTAATAGAATATCATCTAAAATGCCGTACATTAGAATTCATTTCTACGATAAGTATATACCAGTTTGTATGTGTATGTGTTCAACTGTTGATGGATCATTCAACCATTACCACTGTCGTTTGTTTTTGGTGGATACCATTCAAATATTATTTCTAATCTGCATGCTTGATTGCAATCAATATCCGAGTTTTCAAGCTAATTCTTTGGGCTCATATGAGGATTATTCAAGTATAAGTGAACACTGTACGAGATCTTATGGTATAATAATGGAAAAAGATGGCTAGTAAACTTTGAGGATGTGGTTTAGTTCCACTGATTTGCATGATGGTATGAGGCTTTGATGGGCCACAAGGCTGGGGCCTTACGAGAATGAAATTCACAATACACATGGAGCTCTTATGCATATTCAGAGAGATGATGGGTTGGTTATGACAGAAAACAGACAATTTGGTTAAAAAAATTCAAGTCAAGGAATAGAATTCGCATGAAGACCAAGGCTAAAAAGGTTGGCATAATCCAAGATAAGAGAAGAAATGACTGAGATCAACCAAAGAAATGATTTGAGAGATATGCTTTTTTGTATACATATATATGTGCATTAAAAGTAGAAAGATAACAGGCCTAAAAGTAAGTACACAGAGAGAGAGAGCTGGAGGCATTCGAGTCAATAAATTACTTCTTCTGTGAATTGAAACCCAAAGTTTGTTTTTTTTTTTTTTAATTTTTTTTTTTTTGTTTTTATTTTGTATGATCTTCCTTTGAATCTCCTTTTTCTTCTATTGGATGGATTCGTTATCCTTGTGGACATTTTCTGTAGGCTCTTTGTTTATTTATTTATTTTTGATAAGTAAATTTTTAACTTCTTCCTGTATTTACTAAAGCAAAACCAAATTGTGGTTTCAAATGACAGATGAAGTAAATTGTTAACTTGGGAGAGCAGCTGTCTAAAAGAAATTCAGAAACCATGCATAGCACTATATTATGTTTTAAAATTTGCTGCATCATTGTTCTCTGAATTTTGGGTTTTGTTTTGGTGTCAATGAAGATCCATGCAGAGATAATGGGAATCAAATGTCAATTTTAGACCAACGTTCCTTTCAAATATTATGAACTTGGGAAGCAAGGGTACAAAAGTTCTTCATCCTAATCACAGAATATTGTATCCAACATGCTAGATATGTGAATAGAAAAGAAAAAAAAAATGTTGGAGAAAACTATCAAGATTCTGATATGAGCAGAATATCTATATCTGACTGGGTCTAGGTTCAATTTGGTCTCAGAATGCAAGACTAGGAGGGATTATAAAGCTACTTTCCTGTAACAAAAGATGTGACAAACTGACAATTTAGATGCAATATAGGAAACTTCCAAAGAGCAAATGCATTCCTCGAGAATTCCAAAAGATATAGACTGTCACTGGAAAAATGTATTTTTAAATGACAAAAATATGTTTTTATAACGTTTTTGATAAATCTATAGATGCCTAAAAGTTAATTCTTCACCATGTTTCCATTTGGAAGCCATTGGTCTATTTATGCTGTAAAGCATAGATTAGATTGTTCACCAATGTTACCATTTACCAACATCAGTTACTTACTGTAGTTTTAGACCTTTGGATTCTATAAGCTCATGTTTCATGTTAATCTGTATAGACTATGGAGAAATGTCCTCTTTACATGGCTTTCTTTGTTCAAAATTGGAACTTCATAAGGTTTAGTGATCTCATCAATATTAATGTGCTACATGATTAGTTTCTATTATATATCTCCATAGTCCACACTAATTGAAACAGAACCACATATCTCCATTAGAGTTGAGTTAACACAGTTCTTACATATTCTTTGTTTCAATTTTTTCTCAAGTTGACTCATGAAAGTTATTCTGGTATTCTTTCTCTCCCAGGATGTTTGTCATAATGGAGCAGAGAGAAGCTTTAAGAAGTTCAAGAGACAAAAGATAGAAAATGATGAAGTTGCAGGAAGTTCAATCTTGTCTGAACAGATAAAGCATGACATTCCATGCCAAGCCGTTGAAGAAATCAATCAACAGGACTGTCTAGTAAACTGGATGAGCATGGATGAAACCCAGCTTCTGAATTTTGAAAAATATAAAGATGGTGACTGTGGTGCAGATTATGAAGATACCGATGACAGTGATGATGAAGATGACGAGTGCTGCGATGAGGATGATATTGATATTGATGATAAGTACAGGCAGAATGATGGCATTTCACAAGTTGCAGATACAGTGAAAAGAAATGCCCATGAAGGCATTGATGGGGAAAAAGATAAATCATGCTCAGGAAATCCAGCTGGTGGTCAGAGTGAACCAAAGGAACCAAATGCAAGTGAAGACATAAATGGATATCAAAACAAAGGCCTGTTAGTAACTGATTCACAAATTATTAACAACAAGAAAGAACATAAAAGGCATTACAAAAAAGAAAACAGAAAGATTGGAGGATACAGAGTGCCATCAGAAATCCATAGCTCTGGACATGAGACTGGGCAAAAAGCATTAGGAAACACACCTTTGCATAAAAAGCCCCCAAAGGTAGCCTTCTGTCCAAAAGAAGTCAAGAGAATAATAGTGTCAGAAGTGCTTTTGCTGAAAAATGCTCAATCTCACACCATAAGGAAAATCATTGTCTTTGCATCTCTTGGCATAAGGCATGGGTGTGAAGATATGTATGAATTAGATTTCAATCATTTTAGCATACTGAGAAAGGGAGAGCCCTATGTATCCCCAAATAATCCTGGGGTAAGCATTCTTGTTTCTTGATAATTTTACTTGTATGGATTTTAACATGGTCAATTAGAGGGACATGCTCATGAATATAAAGTTGGTTGCCTTGATGTCATTATTGCTTCTGTTTACTAAGATTTCTTTGCCAAACAAATAAAAGAATATTTTTTCCCCTTCTTGTGAGGTTTATACAACCACTAGGAAGTCATTTATCTAAACATACATGTCTGTATTCTTTGTGTTCTAGTGGTTTGAACAAACACCTCACGTGTGGATTGAAAAATATGATTCTGTGGTTACAAATGAAAGTCAGTTACATGACATTGAGCATATTCCAATTAGTTAACCATTTGCTTAGAATGTTATTCTTTTTTATTTTCACGATGGACTCCATGAATGTTATAATCACCTAAGAAATTATCAGCCAAGGTGTCATAATGTCTTCTTCCTTCTAAAATGGGTGTGGGTATTGCTGTTATCATCCAATATTAACAATATTGGCCAACCAAATAGCATGACAATATCTAGTCACAGTGGATATCATGCTCTACTTCAGTGTTTCCCTTGGTTTTTCTTTAATAGCCATCTATGAGATTAACTTATTTCTCTGTTTTGCAATTATCATTGTCAGGAGGCTGAAGATAGGTTTTCATCTTGTAGTTTTCTGTACCTATTTACCTATTTGACTGATTCCCTGAATGCTATATATTACTTTTATAAATATATAGCTGAAATTAGTTTTTCTTTGGAACAGCCTTTTCATAACTTGAATTATGGAGTGAGGATCTGTTTAATTCATCCTTATATTGACCCCAATCTTCATTCATTGATATTAACCAAGTTCCTTTATTTTTAAAATCAGGAACATGTTCTATATGAGCATCCTGGTGTCCGGAGAAAAATATTCTATCCCAACCGACAGAATCCTACACTCTGTCCTGTTAAAATACTTGAGGAGGAGAAGACTATGCGCCCATCTGATCCGAGCTGCCCATCTTGCTTATTTTTGTGCATCAAATATGGAGGGAGGACAAGAAATCTTCCTCAAAATGAGTAAGTATGATGCTTTACCAAAATTTTAACTCAGCTGTCACTTTTCCCTGATGTGTTTATGGACCAAAATTAGCTGACCTAGATATCCTTTCAATTATGAAATAAAGGATGTATTTATGGTAAAATGGGATCTCTTGGCTTCTCACTGGCAGTCATGTCAGGTAATGCATGTATGTATTGACAGTAAAGAAATTACCTCCTTGCTTTCCTCAGAGTTGGTGAGCTCTGAAATTGTGTAAAACAAAGAAGAGAATTATGTCTTCTTAATAGCTTGATGAAGCATCAACCAACACTGAACAAATATATATGCACTATTCAAAACATGAAAAAAGTGTCTATCTTTATAAATTTATATAGATGAAGAATATGTAAGTTCAACATGGCCTTAGGGAGTTAACCAATTGCTAATTTTCAACTAGGAATAAATACAAGGATTTTTTTTTTTATTTCCTTTTCTCCACCCTGATTCTAACAACACCCAACCACCTCAGTCCTTGAGGGGTAAAGCTTTAAGGGAGTATATATTTGAGATTAAAAAATATATATATTTTTTTTTGGGGGGGGGGTGTCCAAGGACATGGGGATTAAAGTTTGTTAAATTCACCAACTCAGCCTCATTCATCTTAAACACCAACATTGTGGGCTTATAGGTTTATGGCATCGGATGTTTTTACTTTCAACCTAATCTAGAATTGATTACATGTTGGGTTTTTTTTCCAGATATGTGAGGCAGCGGATGGGAAGGAACAAGCTAAAATCATTTGGACCCCTTATGTGCCAGATAGCAATGCTAGTCAATATTCGTAGTGGGAGCTTCTTCTTCAAGGCCTTAGGTATTACACTTTTGTTCATGGCTGGTTTTCCTGATGACCTTGTTCGAAGGGAGACGAAGTACCGGAACCTGGACCTGCTTCAAAAATATTATAGGTACTCATGCCTCACCTTCCCATCTGCTCTTTGTTTATGTTAGCACTGTTGTTATTATCATTATCATTGTTGTTGTTGTTGTTGTTTCTACTACATCATAACTTCTCACTAAAAGTTTGGTTACCCTTATATTGTCGATAACCCATATTTCCTTTGGAAAATCATGCATCGATTTGGAGCTTTTAATGGCTTTGTTTCTTTTCATGGTTTCATCTAAGATGCCTCATTGCAGGACGGATAGAGATGCTGAAGGGGAGGATTTGTTCCATCAACATCCAGTGCTTTATGACACTGTAAGACTTTTACTCTTTGATGCAAATGTTAAGCTTGAAAGTGCCTTCGTATTTGTTAAAATTTGAGTTTAATTGGTTTCTTTCAAGTGGAACTGAAACCAAAATTCCTTAATTTCATCCTGAAAGCTGTCCAACTGAAAATATTTAAAAGTTAAAGCACTATGAAAAATCTCAAAATAAAGGATCCACCCAAAGAAATCGTGGGTCCAGAAAAGAGAGGATAGACAACAAATAATAATATCATGACCCAAAACACCAAATATATCAAAAAGAATCACATCAATTATGAAACAGAATTTGAAGAGTACTTTATAAGGCTTTGGGTTTACTAGGTGAGCCTAACAAATAAATCTTAGAAACCTGGGAATCTTCTATATGGAATTTTAGGTGGCAGTCCATAAGTTTCTGTGTGTTTCCTCACACAAAACTTCATTCTTGGAGTAAAGTGTTACCCAACCCTGTGGCAAAAGAAAACTATATCTGGACATTTATTGGTTAGAAAAAAAGTTTAAAACTTTCAACAATTATCATCACTTGGGAAAAGATCCAATTCATGGTGGGATATATAATTGACATGGAATCTGACCATGTGAAAACTACTATACAATTTAGAGGGTCCTCTGTCTGATGGACGGTCTGGGATGACGATATAGAACCTTGGTTGAACAATGCAAGTGCATATTACTAATATCTTGATGTATTAAAAATATAGGTTCACAAAAGTGGCATTATTTTCATCTAGATTTGTTTTGTCTGGGAGAAATGGAATGATGAATGTCAATATATTGTCCTAGATGAATCTGGTATTGGATAATTTATTATTAAATATGTGCTGGTATTAGCCTTCCAAAGCAAAAATCAAAAACTGACAATCTTCAAACCTTTGAAAGAATAAAATAGTAAAGATTAAACCATTTATTGGGTAGATAAGCTAGGATCCAACCTGTCCAGCTAACTATGATGCCAGATTCAACATTGTATAGCTGTGGTTTCTATTCATGAAAAATTTATTGATTAACAAGTAATCCCCTCCTAAACAGGCTAGTCCAAATTCACAGCACGTGGCAGGGAAGGCAATTTCAAGCAAATCAAGCGGCAAGAGGCAAACAGCTTCCACAAGTAAGCCTCCAAATTTAACTAGATCCTCAATCCTACAATCCATTCCTTCGAGCTCTCTACCTCCTATGCAGTTTGGGCTTATAGGATATACCTCTGTCCATGGTCCTGCGATGACAGCATTTCAATCTGTGCCATCTCATACTCTAACAGAAACCCCACCAATCTCCAACCCTGCTATAGGCACTTCTAACACAAATATGTCCTACCACACAAATCAGACGCCAACTCCATATCCCATGTTTCCACCACACCCATCAAACACATTTATGCCAATCACATATTGGCCTCAGACGAATGCATTCCCTTCATGTCCTTACCCAGCTTCTTATGGTTACCGTTCTTTCCATCCAACAAGTTACATCTCTCTTCACCCACAACCTTATTACCCTTCTGGCAGTCCTTTTATTCCCAATGTGGTTGAAGGAACTCAGAAGAAAGATGCAGCCACACAAGAAGCTGATAGTAACTCTGACAGCAGTTCAGTTGGTACAGAGCTGAAAAAGGATTAGCAAATTGTAAGTAATGAACAACCCTTTCCTGTAAATCTGTCAAGTAGAACATTACGCATGTAGCAATGAAATCTTTTTGAGGAAGACAATCTGCAACTCTACCATTTTTCTTCCCTCTGCCGAATGGTGGATGTGACATGCCTCGTATAGCAGTATAGCACCATCCTGATCAGTTCATAGCTAAGCTATTATTCATGGTTTAAACATGTAGCAATAGAATTTAGTTAGTGCTATTAAGTATATGTTTCTCAAAGAAAATAAACCACTGGAGCATCAACTTCTCTATCCATGTCAGGGAACAAATTGGTAGTTATCAAGTGAACGCTGAAAATGAATGATATCAACATGTGTCAATCTTCTCCAACAAGAACAAAAAAAAAAGTTAAGTGTTTAACAGCCAATACTAGTCTCATTTATCAGAGGGAGCCAAACGTAAGGTTGGAAAGGGACCCATGAATTAATAGTTTAAATGGTTAGATCAGAACCTCCATGGCGTTTTACTGTCAGTGAAATGATAAGAATTGCAGTGTATGTGTCCAAAATCACTGCCCAGATCTCATAATTCATTGCTCAAGATGCCAATCTTGATTGCAAGTGCCAGAGTCCAATAATATATTGAAATAAGCAATGGAAGTACGATTACACTTCAAAGTTCAAACAGACCTGACAAAACCACCTGCAGTTGTTGCTATAGCCTAACAATTTCTTTAATCGTAAATGCTTAGTGCATTAAATTGACAGGGCGGAGATCAATATTAAAAGCTTTCCTCAAAAAAAAAAAAAAAAATCAGTAGTAAAAGCAACCATTCAACTTGTATGAATTGAAGTTAACTGTGAGAGATTAATTTCCAGTTTATGGTTAGATCAAGGAGCGAGCCGAGTCGGTAAGGTAGGTTGACACATGACCACGCAAATTGATCTAAAATGCTAAACAAATTCTTACCCAAAATCCCAAACTTTCTGTCGAAAATTCCAAGTTTGCAACGAAAGCTCTGTCCTGTATGCTTGCATAAGCACTGGCAATTCATCGTTCATACTCTCACATGCACATGCACGTCTTTCAGTCTGACAGGTTACCTAATCGATGGTAAATAATTCAAACCTCAAATATAGCAATTCCACGAGCCAGCTTATGTCATTTACAGAAACGAAAATGGGAAAGAGAAGAAGAAAAGAGAAAGGATTATATCTTTTGAACCAGTTATACGAGTGATCAGTAATCCTTCTTAAGGCTTTGGCCCATTCATTGTCATTCATCTCCCTGCATTGTATTTGTCTTATTAATAATAGTAAACAGAGAATCATAATGTGACCACCTACCAATAAACTCACAAGTCCTTCTCCTTGACAAGTGCAGAGCTTAATTATTAGCTCAATTCACGCTATCTCGTTTGTTTTTGCGATGGATAGTACAATTTCATGGACCCCAATTGTTTCTTTATCTTTTTATTCTTGGATTCCAAGAATAAATTCCAAATTTTAGAGAGAGAGAGAGAGAGGAACTGAGGAAGCATGAACAAACCACCATAATATAATTCTCAATCCATTCATCATACACCATCCCCACCACCCATACATACATCATTCCTTCATTCCCCAGCACCCATCACTACATCGACTACACGTCTACACCACCAAAAACAAAAAAGGGAGAATCCTACAAAACTAAAGACGGTGCGTGTGGTCACCACCCCATCATCATCATGATGCCGAGACAGATGCCACTCACTTGCATGAAGAAAAGTAAAGCTCCACTAAGACCATTTTATTAGTTATTCTACCAACTCTTCATTCTTTCATCTCATCTCTCACAGAAGCTAACGAGAAAGGTGGAGGTATTTCACTCTACTGCGGCAAGTAAAATCTCAGTGGTGCTTGTTGGCTACATTGCACTGCTTTCTGATCTCGCCCTTTGTACCAGTGAGAGGGTTGTTCTCAGAGAGAATGGTGATGGCCCTTGCAAACTCCTTGAAGAAGTAGTCCTGGCTCTTGGCCATCTTCTTCACATAGGGCTTAGTCCTCTTGTCATTGGCTAGCTGGTGGTCTACTATGAGTAAGCCCTTGTTGTCCATTATGTTCCTGTAGTAGTTGTTGTCCAGCTTCATGGGTGTGCCTCGGTCGTTCCTCACGTACTGCACGGCCTTTGGATCGGGGATTGGGTCTGGACATTTTTTGAACATGTGCTCGACGTGATCCGGGTTCAGTGCAGGGTCTACCTCCGGGTACAAACGGTGAACCAGCTTCACACAATGGGTTCGACCAACACTGTGGGCTCCTGTGTAGAGATCAGTTAGAGGTGTTTTTAGCTTGCTTTCACTTCTATACATTTTATTTGGATGATGCATGTATCTAGTCATGAATGGGAAGATGCTTGGCGACCCATACATTTAGCTTTGATGTTTTTTTTTTCATGGAACAATCATGCATGCAGGAGAAAATTTAATGGTGGATCTAGTGGTGTCTGATGAGGATTTGGATGGAGAATTGATGTATGGGCATCACAATAAAGTGAAATACATTATACATGGTGTCTGCGTATGTGTATGTATGTGATATATGCATGTATATATGCGTGAACATTATGTGTCCATGTCTGTGTGAGATCATGGGTGGTAAGAGATGAAGAAAATACCCAGCAAGGCAACTACTCCAGGGGTGTCGATTCCCATGGCTGCAAACCTGTCAAGAACCACAGAGATGCTCTCATTGTGGTCAGGGAGGAACTGCTCTATCACATCTGCACGGCTCCTCCTACCATCTCTTCTCCCTGTCTTGAGAGGGATGTAAGGGCCCCCAAGCTGAACCAAGAAAAATAAATATAAAAATCATAAATCAAATTAGTCTAAAGTCTTTTTGCAGATATTTCCACAAGAACCCTTACAGACCTTTTACTTGAACTTGAGTAAGCAAAAAAGATATATTCAGAAATAATGTTCAGGAGGGGGGGAAAAGCAGATCGAGAGGAGGAAACCCATTTAAAAGCAAAACAGAATAATTCAACTCAGGAGACAAACACTCAAGAAGATATGTTGGCATTTGGGTGAAGAAAGACAAAAAAAAAAAACCATGATCATGGCTATTTTACTAAATAAGTAAATCCTGCAATTAACCAGTTCAGAAAAAGAGTATGTTAAGAACAAACATAAAGATCATCCAGGATAAGAATTTAAGTGGAGAAACTTAAAAATTAGATCCACACAGATACAGAATCTACCACCTTACAAGGGAAAGAAACAGAAACCCACATAAAAGTAGAGCAGAAGTTCAACCAAGAAATGGAAATTGAGTAAGTACCGCAACAATGCCATCTCTTGCAGACAAGACAAGGATATCTGCGCAGGAAACCACACCAGGGCACTCCCTTTCCACAGCTTCCTTGATGGTGTCAAGGTATCTGAAGTTCCTAAGCCCAAAGCTCCTATCTGTCTCCTTCTCCGACAAGTCTCTCCTTGTAGAATCCAGTAGAAGTGAAGCATCGCATGACTACACACACAGGGGAAAAACAGAAGAGTCAGAAAAGAAGAACCCATCAACAGAGTTTCAAACTAGAAACAAGAAAACTTCTGGTTATTTGTGTACCTGGACAGCACAGTCATGGAAGATGTTCCTGAGCCATGAGAATGCAGTGTTCTTGTGGCGCTTGTACAGGAGTTTAACTTGTTCTTTGATAATGTCTTCGGCTTGAGGACAGGAGTCCTTGTAGAAAGTCATTACAAGGCCGGGGTCCTCTTCATTCTCTGCAAAAACAGGCCTGAGAGCCACAGCACAGAAGCATACCAGAGCAAAGAAGAAGAGAGCTTTGGAATCCATAATTCCTCCTCCCAAAGATCAGATTCTTGCTTTCCCCACTTCTACTTAGGCTCTTAAATAAAGCAGAAGAGGGAGTAATGAATGGAAAAGAAACAGATGGTAAGATTTGTATTTTAATTCCGATTCTTATTACTTACTGCTTCCACTTGTCCGCTCTTAGCATTTACGCCTAAATAAACTCAGTTGATCATTGAATCATGCTTCCAGCATCCAGCTTATCACTAAAACACTTGTTCAGGAGCCCAACCGAGAAAGTCAAAAACTAGTGGACCCACAAGACTAATCACGGGCTTATGATCTTCGTCTTTAATTCTTAGTGAAAGAGTTATTAGATGTAATTTATATTCCAATCCAACCACTTTTCCACATTTACCAGGTTGTACAGCCCGTGTACAAGACTCGGACCTAATTATCTTCGGATTCCACCCAAGTTTGGAATACTTGAGATCGGAGCACCAATTAGCTATTTAAATTACTCACCCATTATTCTTGGTAAATGAAAGCAGGACAAATAATAAACATAATCAGCTGGGCCTCGTAGATGCTTTTCATAAACGCTAAATAAATAAGTGAGGCCCATTTGCAGTGAAGGCAGTGTAACGTTTATTTACCAAAAACAAAAGAAGGCAATGTAGATAGTCGGTACAGAATGCTCGGTTCTCTTCTAGTCTTCTACACGTGGCAGGTTTTAGATAATAATAGTCTTCTACTTTGCCCATTGTCGAGATGGTCATTCGGTAACCGAACGTCTGAGATCATTCTCAGCTAACCCAACGTATTCTCACGATGACGTTCTCACGTGCGCATCAAATAATGAATTCAAATTTTTGGACGACAGCGCGACGATTTTACTCCGTACAATGATTTGAAAATATATCAGAAGGGTATTTTTAATATTATGTAATGTTTAAGTCACAAAATATTAACGGATGGTGATGAAGAAAGATTTGGCCCGACCTCGCAAATCACATCATGTGGCAAAAAAAGCAAGTAACTCGGCACTTAAAACAGCATACCGAGGGTATAAAATATCAAAGGGAAGAGACCAGCGGTCCGAACTCCCCTCGAGGAGACCAACTCCCTGCGAGGAGCCCGAACTCCCTACAAGGGGCCCGAACTCCCTACTTAGAACTTGAACTCCCTACGAGGAGCCCGAACTCTCCCTTTGGCCCCGAGTCACACAAAGCAGACCCGAACTGGCCCGTCTTATGAAAGTTCGGGACACCCCCCCTATCCGAACTCAAGACTTCGCCTCACGCACCGCTCTAGGCACTTCGCCTCCAGAGCATTGAACTGGACGAACCACACCGTACCAGACACCGAAGGAGTCTGTATCCAGGGGCGGCGCACCTGACTGACTTGGGATCTGACGCTTGGCGGCCGCATTTCAAACGGCCACCTGCCACCGTCATCTGCCACCACCATCTCCAGTTACAGAGACGGCTCCGACAAAAAGAGCAGTGACGGTTCTGCCCCAGTAGAGGCAATGACGCCCGAACTGGCAGAAGCACGGAAGTAATCATTTCCGACTTGACAGAAGTCTAGGAGTGAGTGCACGAGGTGGTTATAAAAGGCTCTCCACCCCCCCAAAGAGGAGGTATGCAAATTTTGCGCTATCTGGTTTTATCTTGCCTTTGAAGGATTCTAACTTAAGCTTCGGAACCTTTACACCGGGTTCTCCCCGGAGCTTCCTCATCTCCTCCGTTTCAGGTTCCCTGCTACTCARTTCAGAGGCAAGGTCGTTGACAGYTAAGACYGGCCGGATTGCGCATCATCARWTGG